GAAGAGTTGTGCACACGCCCTAATTAAACCTATAAAGGGACTTTCCCATTGACCAGCATTCTAAGCCCTGAAGATGTCAGCGGATGCCGACGAAAGCTAGGCACTTTTATTGATTTCTATGTATTTTAAAGTTTTTAATATTCTTAAGAACTTTTATCTTTAAATTATTATTATTAAATTATTTATTCCCTGGTGCTCATGTCTATTGACTGACTTTGAACATATATATATATATGTTTTGTGTTATTAAACTTTTGTAGTTTATTATACTCCTGGTGCTCACAGCTTATTTATTGGAAGATATATATATATATATATATCTTCCAATAAATAAGCTGTGAGCACCAGGAGTATAATAAACTACAAAAGTTTAATAACACAAAACATACACACCAAGCTTTCGTTGGAATCCTTCCGACATCGTCAGGGTTAAATGCCAGTCCATGGGAGAGTCCCTTTTATAAGCCACCCGTCGTCTGCGCCCGGCTCCTGGACCTTGTCACCGGTCCCAGCTGATTGGGCTGCACCTTAATTGCAGCTTTCACCCCGGTGACTAATCTTTTCTTTCCTCCCCTGCCTACGTGTATGGTGCTGCTAGCTACCTCTACCTGTGGCCTTGGGTCCAGCGTGCTCTCTCCCCCCCTTTTTTGATCTTGCAAACTCTCCGTATCCTCCAATCCCTCCCCCTTCCCATCCTCCTTCCTTCGCTGCGCTGACGGCTCTGCTGCCCCCTGTTCCCTGTCCCCCTCCTCTTGTCCATCCTCCTCACTTACAGCTCGGTTGATACCCTTCATTCTATGGGGCCCCTTTGCCACCCTCTTAACCTCTTCCTTAACTTCCATCCCCCTCTCTTCCACCTCCACCCGGCTCTCATCCCTCACGTTTCTGTTCCGCACCTCCTCCATTCCTTTCCTCCCCCCGTCTCTGTTGCCTGTAATCCCCATGCTGGCCCCGCCATCCCCCCCATCCTCCACCGCGACGTGCTCTCTATCCTCTTCCTCTCCTCTCCGCCCCTCCTTTGCACGCCAGTTGTCCCTTACTCCATGGGGCCGTTTCTCCTCTCTCTTGTGCCCCCGCCTAACTTCCCTCCTCCCCTCTTCCACATTCACACCCCCTTCCCTCCTATGGATACTACCTCGTATCTCTTCCACTTCTTTCCTCCCCCCGTCTCCGGTGCTCACAACCTCCGTGCCAGCCCAGGCGCTCACGTCACTCCCATCACTCTTCCCACCAGCCTTTCTTGTATTCCTGAGTCGATGGGATTGCCCACCGACTCCTTCATTTCCCTTTCACTTTCATCCACCCGATCCTCCCCGTGGCCACCAGTCCGATTGAGCACCCCCATCGCTGCAAACCAATCCTTCCCACCATTGTCAGTCAATCCAGATCCCACTTTCCTCCTCCCCCCACTTTTGATGTTTTCCGTCTCCGTATCGTCCTCAAGCCTCCAACTGCCACTCCGTTGCTCCCGTTGTTGCGGGCGGTCCGTCCCCGGGTGGCGAGCCGGTCCGATCCCTCTCTCATTCCTCAGATACCTCCGGGTGCTGTTGCTCCTAGCCGGCCCCTCTCCTCGCCCCCAGCCTCCTCTTGCCTCCGTACCTCCTCTTTCGCCTGGGTGCCCCATGGGCCGTCAGCAAGGCAGCTCCGAGCCCCTCTTGGGGATATTCTTTCCCTCCGACTCCCCAGGGGGTGTGGCAAGCTCTCCAAAGCGCCAGTCATTGATCTTTTCTCTGTCTGCGTCCTCCTCGTTTCCTGGGTGGGTGGGGTCTCTAGATCGTTGGCCATTCTTCGTTTGGGTGCGCGTGTGTGACTCAGTCTTTCCCAGTCATTCCGTGAGGCCTGGGGGGGGGTTCCTGGATCACCTGCCACCCCTCCTCCATCCCGCTGTGGCTCTCTTTCCTCCCGGGAATGTATAGGTGTGCCCAGGGCATGGGGTTTTTTTACCCGTTGGTTGTCTTCCCCCCCCCCCCCGGTTATCCATAGTGCATTTCTGCCCCGGGGGGTCTGCCCTCTCTGTAACCACCTCTGCGGGGGTATGCCGCCCGGCCTTCTGCCATCCGCGTCGGGACAGGGGGTCACCGGCGCTCCACGCCTTCAAGGTTAGATGCGCCGGGCACAAGTCAATGTGCCGGTTGATGGAATCACTATTCGAGAGCCAGGCCTCCTTGAGTAGCCGGCCCCCTTTTGTGTTATCGCTGGCCAGGACACGCACATTGTCAAAATCAAAGCGATGCCCAGACTCTGCCATATGCATCCACACCTGGGAGCGCTGCTCACCCCTTTTTACGGCCAGCCTGTGTTCATGGACCCTGGTCTTCACTCTCTTAGAGGTCTCCCCCACATAGTTGCCGGGACAGTCTTTACAATTGATCTTATACACAACTGCCGACTTCTCTGTGCTGGGGAGTGGGTCCTTGGGCCGCATCACTTTGGAGCGCAACGTTTGGTTGGGTCTATGGGCCACTTTCACCTTATGAGGTGCCAGCAGCCTGGCTGTTGCCTCCGAGACGTTGCTGATATACGGGAGAGTGACCCGGGTCATTTGTGGTGACAACTCCTCTACCCCTGGCTGATCTCGGGGTATGGGGGGCACACTGTGGCGTTTGATAAATCCTGTGGGGTACCCATTGCACCTGCACACACGGAGTAGGTGGTGTCTTTCTTCTCTTTTGGCTTTTGCCGTGCTGCAGTGGGAATCAACTCGTCCAAACAGCGTTCTTATACAGCTGGCTTTGTGGGCTACCGGATGGTTGCTAGCAAAATGTAATATCCTATCCATGTGCGTTGGCTTACGGTATACCTCCGTGCTCAGGGTTCCGTCTGGACGGCGGCGTACCAGCACGTCCAAGAATGCCAGTGCCCCCTGATTCTCCTCCTCCTCCGTGAATTGAATGTCCGGGTATACCGAATTGAGTGTTTTGAGGAGGGTACGACCAGGCGACTCGGCACTTGCCAGGTTTTATGGACTCCCTAAGATTCATAACGCAGGGGTTCCCCTCCGCCCCATCGTCACCTTCAGAGACACCCCCACCTCGGGCCTGGCCAAATGGCTGAGTAACAGGCTAAGCCACGTGGTCAATGATAGCCCCACCACGGTGAAATCGGCGGAGGAGTTCTTGCATAGGATCAAATCCCTAAGGATAGAGGAAGACGAGCTGATGGTGTCATTCGATGTCGTCTCGCTCTTCACTTCTATCCCGCAAGACCTGGCGGTCGCGGTGCTTAGGGGCCGGCTGAACCAAAAAGGGCCGGGGCAGGACCAGGACTCCCTTCGTACTGACGACCTGATGAGGCTGCTTGAGGTGTGTCTGAAAACTTATTTCACCTTCCAAGGGAACACGTTTGAGCAGATCAAAGGCACGCCCATGGGTTCGCCCATTTCAAGCATTATAGCGAAGGCCGTGCTGCAACAGTTAGAGCACGTAGCGATGGCCCAATACCAGCCCAAATTCTGGGCCCACTACGTGGATGACACATTCGCAGTCATCAAAAGAGATCAGAAAGCTGACTTTGTGAGAATACTCAATTCGGTATACCCGGACATTCAATTCACGGAGGAGGAGGAGAATCAGGGGGCGCTGGCATTCTTGGACGTGCTGGTACGCCACCGTCCAGACAGAACCCTGAGCACGGAGGTATACCGTAAGCCAACGCACATGGATAGGATATTACATTTTGCTAGCAACCATCCGGTAGCCCACAAAGCCAGCTGTATAAGAACGCTGTTTGGACGAGTTGATTCCCACTGCAGCACGGCAAAAGCCAAAAGAGAAGAAAGACACCACCTACTCCGTGTGTGCAGTGTTCTCTGGGAACACGGGTGAGAGAGAAGCCAGACAGCGCTACGGGGAAGGAGGAGGAGGGAAGCAAGGTGGGATTGCAAGTGGTCAGGGAAAGGAAAAAGGTTAATGAACAGCAAAATGAGGTCCTAAATGAAGGGGTGCCGCCCCCTCCCGATGAACAAATAGGACAGGGAAAGAGAGGAGGTGGGAAAGAGAGAACCAGGAACGCAACAACTCGCAAAAGAACAATTAAGAATGCAAAGCAGGAGGACTATCTGGGCCTGGTCACGAGATCGAGGAGTCGGGTGCAAAAGGCACCACTCCCATAAAAACAGCCACCCACTGATGGTTAGCCACCCTGATGAAGCCGGCAGGAGGCCGGCGAAAGCTAGGTGTTTTAATTGTAAATAAACTTGTTATAGTTTTTATCTCCTGGTGGTCTCACAGTTTATGATTCTCCAGATATGAATTCACCCAGGAGTCAACCTCCAGTTTTTAAAATTTTTAGAATTTTAAATATATATATATATACAGATATATATATTTATATAGATAGATAGATAGATAGATAGATATAGATATAGATATAGATATATTTATATAGATAGATAGATAGATAGATATAGATATAGATATAGATATAGATATAGATATAGATATAGATATAGATATAGATATAGAAATATAGATAGAAATATAGAGATATAGATATAGGTAGATAGGTAGGTAGGTAGGTAGGTAGGTAGATAGATAGATAGATAGATAGATAGATAGATAGATAGATAGATAGATAGATAGATAGATATAGAGACAGACAGACACAGATAGATAGATAGATAGATAGATAGATAGATAGATAGATAGATAGATAGATAGATAGATAGATAGATAGATACATACATACGGTAGATTGATAGATACGGTAGATAGATACGGTAGATAAAATAAATAAGAAATGGACAAGTATGCTAAATGTCTTTGGTCTTCCAGCTGGTGAAGACGGCAGATTTGGATCCATCCAAGGACTACATCTTCGGCTTTCATCCTCACGGCATCTTGCCAGCTGGCGGCTTTATTAATTTCTGCACCGAAGCCGCCAGCTTTTCCAAACACTTCCCAGGCCTGAAGCCTCACCTGATGACGATGAGTATGTGTTTCCGAGTCCCCTTTTTCCGGGATTACGTGATGAGTTTAGCTAAGCCGACTTGGAAGGGATTTCTGATTCATTGGGAAACTTTTGGAGGAGCAAAATCAATCAATCAATCAGAATAGAGCTGGAAGGGACCTTGGAGGTCATCTAGTCCAGCCTCCTGCTCAAGCAGGAGACCCTATATCATCTCAGACAAATGGCTGTCCAGTCCATTCTTAAAAACCTCCAGTGATGGAGTACCCACAATTCCTGGAGGCAAGTTGTTCCACTGGTTGATTGTTCTCACTGTCAATGAGATCTGGTTCCGGATTGTGGCATCAGCGGATGTGCCAGGAGAGCGCTATCTCCGCTATCTGGTTTCCCTTTGTCGGAAGACCCTGGAAAGGGTCAAAAGTCACCCTGGAGGGGCGACCACCGCTGAGGAGGACCTTCGCTAGATTGCGGAGGGGCGGTAGCCCTTCCGTTTGATCTAAGACAGCTCCTTTGGATCGACGAAGAAAAGATCGGCCATTAACATGGCCGATCACTAAGCCGTACCAGACAAAAGACAAAAGAACTACCAACCACAACAAAAGCAACGTGGAGTAATTGGGTGAGACCTTATCTTACCTTTCTTGCACCCCAACTACCTTCCTGTAAAAGCCTTTGGAAATTTTTCCCCCTTTCTAACTTGGCGGCTTCTGCCTACTCTGGGAACATAAAGCTATGGAAAAAAAAAGAACAACTAATCTAAACGATTAAATAATTGGACTTGTAATTTTTGTATATTTGGGGCCCCAAAAGGTTCCTATTCGTACAGGGACTTATTACTTTACTTATCTGCTAAGCTGGAAAAAAAGATTATTTTTTCAAACCGGATAAAAGCCTAACTTGAGTTTGAGAAAGACTTTACATGTCACTGAGGACATCTTGTGGCAACATTTGGTACAGCAAGTGAATTTCTTTTTGACTGGGAGACTTGTGAGACTAAGATTTGGCCTTGACAGTATCAAAAAAGATAAAAACTTGAAACAGCTGGGTGGTGAAAACAACTCTCTATAGTGGAGGTGGACACCATTGATTTTTATCAAAAAATAGCCTCCACTAAAGGATTATCTGTAAACACCATAGAAATGGAGGAATACTATCCACAACTTAACTATAAACTGATACTTGAAAAAATCCTTGAGGTTACTGAGCTAATGAATTCCAGACTGAAAAATAAAGATGCCACTTCAAAGCTACAAAATGCAACCCAGACTGCAATTGATGAACCTACAATCCAAAAGGCAACAAAAGGGTGATTCGCTTAACAAATGTGGCAAAAAGGTCATCAAATCACTTAACAACTGCCTGGCTTAGCAATGGAAATTTGGGGGCTCAGTTGTGGTCGTAAGATGAGGACTCTCTGTATTGGTGATCTGGATGGACAAGAAGGAGGAAATTGAGTGTCTTCCCTCCAGAAGTTGTGGGCGCTCCAACACTGGAGGTTTTCAAGAAGAGACTGGACAGCCATTTGTCTGAAATAGTAGGGTCTCCCGCTTGAGCAGGGAGCTGGATGAGAAGATCTCCAAGTTCCCTTCCAGCTCTGTTATTCTCTGTTAAGGCTATTTAGTGTGTGTGTGTGTGTGTGTGTGTGTGTGTGTGTGTGTGTGTGTGTGTTGTACGGGGCTTTAATGTTCTTCTTTTTCCTGCTTTGCTTCACCCAGGTTTTATTCCCTCGGACAAGGAATCTGTTTCCTATGTCTTGAGGAAGAAGGAAGGTGGGAATATTGTAGTCATAGTTGTGGGAGGGGCCAAGGAAGCCCTAGAAGCCCGTCCCGGAGCTTACACCCTTGTGTTAGAGAACCGCAAGGGTTTCGTTCGACTGGCCATAGAGAACAGGTAAGTAGGAACAGCTTTTTGGGGGGGAGTCCTGATCGTCTTGTACAATGTACATCACACGCAGTGGTGGGATTCAGCCGGTTCGCATCACTTCGGCAGAACCGGTAGCTAATTTTTTGTTGCCTAGGCCCAGAATGGACTTCCAGAAGTGGTATCCACATAGAGAACCGGTTGTTCACCTATTTGAATCCCACCACTGATCACATGAATTATTACCGTGTTTTCCTTCAACGTGCAAAGCTTGAGAAAGAGTGCTCGAATCCGTTATTTGCAGCCACCCAGCCTTCCTCGGTTATCTCAACCTGTTTGATTCCATCTCTCCTTCTGGTTCCTCTCGGTTCCTAGCACGCCGCTCGTCCCCGTGTTCTCTTTCGGAGAGAATGAACTGTACGATCAGGTCGAAAACCCCAAAGGATCCTGGCTGAGGTGGACACAAGAGCGTTTGCAGAAGATCATGGGACTCTCCCTGCCTCTCTTCTACACCAGGGGGATCTTCCAGTACACCTTTGGGTTTATTCCATACCGGAAGCCAATCTTCATCGTGGGTAAGTTCGTATTTCTTCCGTGGCACCCAGATATGAGAGGCAGGTAAAACAAGGAAGGATCTGCTGGACACATTCTTCCTTCTTGGAGGATTGTTCAAGGTCTCCTCTTATTAGGTTTCCCAGGTAGGCGAGAGAGGAAACACAACTGGAAATGCTAAGGTGATATTAAAGGTTAAATTGGAATATTGAGGAGAAATTAAAAACTGAGTAAAAATTAATAACAGGATATGGATTGTTTACGACAGGGGTGTCAAACTCAATTTCACTGAGGGCCGTATCAGCATTGCAGTTGCCCTGGGGGGGCCGGGTGGGTGTTGCCAGAGTGGGTGCAGCCTACTGGGTGGGCATGGATGGAGTGGGTGTGGCCTACTGGGTGGGCGTGGCCAGTTCTACATCATTCACGTCAAGGGTGCCCATGGGGGCCTGGGCAGGAGTGGGACAGATCTGAGGGTCTCTGGGAGAAGGGGGTGGGACCGCGGCAAGCGCCAAGGCATGGTCCACTGGGGCAAGTGCCAAGATGGCCATCATAAAATTGTACATTGGCTCCCGGCCGGCCTGGGCCAGGGCCAAGGCAGCGAGGGCCGTTCCCTCACTGTTTCCAGGATGGCTTCACGGGCCACATGAAACCACTTCACGGGCCGCATCCGGCCAGCGGACCTTGTGTTTGACATGTCTGGTTTACGACGATTGAATGTAATTAAGAAATGCATAAGCTAAATTTTTGGATAAATGTAATAATGATGTTTTTATTGAGTTGATATAATGAGAAATGTACTAACTTGAATACGAGACAGTAAATGTTAAGGGAAAAAGAGAAGAAATATCTGATGTTGTAACCTGATATTTGCACTAAGATTTTGTTTTTGAACTATTGATTAACCCAGTCACCATGTGGCTTTTTAAATATTCAAATGTAAAATTGGAAAGTTAATAAAAAAATAGAAAAAAGAAGAAAAAAAGAAAGCCCTCGACTTATGACAATTGGGCCTGACATTTCTGTGGCTGGGACATTTGTTCAGTGAGCGTTGCCCCATTTTACAACATTTCTTACCACACTCTTTAAGTGGATCCCTGCAATTGTTAAGTTAAATCACACGGTTGTTAAGTGGATCTGGCCTCCCCCTTGACTTTGCGTGTCAGAAGGTCTCAAAAGGGGATCACGTGTGATCCCGGGACGTTGCAACCGTCGTAAGTACATGCCAGTTGCCAAGCCTCTGAAGTTGGACCAGGTGACCGTGGGGAGGCTGCAACGGTCGTAAGTGTGAAAATTGGTCATAAGTCACTTTTTTCAGTGCCGTTGTTAACTTTGAATGGTCACTAAACGAAGTGCTGTAAGTCAAGGACTACCTGTAGTGCATTTTAAACAAGGTCTGTAAATTGCCTATAGTCGCCTTTGGTGAAATGGATGGCACGCAAGTTTAAATAAAATAAAATAATAAAATGAAGTAATAAAATAAAATAAAATAAAATAAGTCAAGTCAAATAAAATAAAATATACAGTAGAATAGAATAGAATAGAATAATAAAATAAAATAAAGTGAAATAAAGAATAGAATGGAATGGAATGGAATAATAATAATAATAATAATAATAATAATAATAATAATAATAATAATAATAATAATAATAATAATAATAATAATAATAATAATGTTGGAAGAGACCTTGGAGGTCATCGAGTCCAACTCCCTGCTCAGGCAGGAAACCCTACATCAGTGGTGGCGAACCTATGAGGTGGCATTCGGAGCCCTCTCTGTGGGCACATGTGCTGTTGCCCCAGCCTTGCCTCCTCCCGTGACCCCCTCCTCACCAGCAGCCCCCCTGGAGGAGAGTCACCCCCGAGTGTGGCCCACACAGAGCAGCGCAGCCAAGGACATGGCAGCCAGGCAGTGTAGACAAGACTCTGTCCTCACACCCCATCACGCACAGTTGATGCTATGGGGCACGGGCAGAGGGCATGGCTGCAATGGTGTTGCTGGGCTGCCTGGGCGACGTGCGGCGGGCCCTGGAGGTGGTGAGTGGCCCTGCAGGCAGGTGGGGTGGGGGGCGGGGCAGGGAGTGGAGCAGGGACGGGGCCAGTTTTTGGGCACTCGGTCTCTAAAAGGTTCGCCATCACTGCCCGACACCATTTTGGACAAATGGCTGTCCAGTCTCTTCTTAAAAACGTCCAGTGTTGGAGCATCCACCGCTTCTGGAGGCAGATTGTTCCACTGGTTAATTGTTCTCACTGTCAGGAAGTTTCTCCTCAGTTCCAGGTTGCTTCTCTCTTTGGTTAGTTTCCATCCTTTGCTTTTTGTCCTGCCTTCAGGCGCTTTGGAGAATAGCTTGACTGCCTCTTCTTTATGGCAGCCCCTGAGATATTGGATCACTGCTATCATGTCCCCCCTCGTCCTTCTCTTCATTAAAGTAGACACACCCAATTCCAGCAACCGTTCCTATTCTATAATAATAGAATAGAATAGAATAATAGAATAGAATAATAAGAATAGAATAAAATAGAAAAATTAAATAATTAAATTAAATTATTAAATAATTAAATTAAATTAAATTAAATTAAATTAAATTAAATTAAATTAAATTAAATTAAATTAAATTAAATTAAATTAAATAATTAAATTAAATTAATTAAACTATTATTTCTCCTGTTGGATCCCTCCAGTGGGAAAACCCATTCAGCTGGTGAAGAAGCACAATCCAAGCCAGGATGAAGTTGATGAGCTCCATAAGAGATACCTGGAGGAGCTCTGCAAGCTGTTTGAGGAGCATAAATTGAAGTACAACGTGCCAGAAGACACGCATCTCTCTTTCGTATGAGACACGAAAAACCATAAACTTTGGCACCGGCGACAAAGATCTGAAAACATCGAAGCCGCCAGGAACAAGCAACTCTTCCATGGAAACCAAAGATATATTCCTTTTGGGGCCAATGGACAAACTGTTGGAAAAAATAAAACCTGACGCAGATTTGTTTTTATTTAGGATAACAATTGTGAGACTTTTGTGGGCCTAACAGTGAAAAGATTTGACATGACCCACAATGGAAGAAAGGATGGTGGAAGCAATGGAACTGGCAGAGATGGCAAAAATTGGCAGCTTTGGTTTTATCAGAGTGAGCAATGTGGCCCCTTTACGACCTGTGGACTTCAACTCCCAGAATTCCTGAGCCAGCCAGGAAATTCTGCCTCAGGAATTCTGGGAGTTGAAGTCCACAGGTCGTAAAGGGGCTATAGTTGACCCACCCCTGAATTAGGAAAAAGATTCATTTTAATGCTGATTGGAATCCCGTTTTGGACTTTCTGCATGAAACAGGAAAAAAAATGAAATTACGAAATATGCATTCGATGATTAGATAGAATAGAAAACAAAATTGAAAGCTATGTTGTAAATTTAGATTAAGAGGTTCATGGAAGCTGATACTTATGTGTTGTGGAAAAAAAGTTGGATTTTTTTATTTTGGTAGATTTGTGTTTAGTTCTGCATTTTTGGCTTTGTAACCTCTTTCGTTCTTTGCTCCCCCCCTTTTCTATCTTAATTATTGGTTCCTGTTAATTTTTATCTCGCTCGTTTAAAACAGGGGTCTTCAAACATGGCCCTTTTATGACTTGTGGACTTTAACTCCCAGAATTCCTCAGTGCCTTAGCAACAGAATTTATGGGCTCTATTGCAGTCGTAAGTTGAGGATTACCTAAAAGAGGGATTTTGGGGTCCTAGTGGACCATCGCTTAAATAGGAGCCAGCCGTGTGCTGCAGCCGCCGAAAAAGCCAACACAATCCTAGGCTGCATTAACAGAGGGACAGAATCAAGATCACGTGAAGGGTTAATACCACTTTACAAGGCCTTGGTAAGGCTACACTTGGAATACGGCATCCAGTTAGGGTTGCCAGGTCTGCTTCCAAAAAATAGCGGACAAGCGGGGGGGGGGGGTGTTAAGTAGTAAAAAAAGTAAAAAAAAAATTTACAATTAAATTATATATTTTCTTACAAACATTTTAACACGTATTAAAATAATCACTTCAAAACTTTACTTAAAATTCAAAACATCAAATATATTATAATAATATGTAAAATATTAAATTACATTTTACTTTGCTGTCGTGTGTATTTTTTATTTGACTGCGCAGCTTTGATCAATTCTTTGTGTTTANTCCACTTTTCAAGGGATGAATCGCCCTGCAGATGAACATAAACTTCTTCTAAGGCAGAAATTTCATCGAAGAGAGTGTTGGGTGGAAGTTCTTCTCGCCATGGTGATAATAACCAGATGTTCGTCATTTCTTCTAAAGTTGGAGGATTATTGCAATCAATTAGATTGAAACAACTTAGCGTCTCATATACTGAATCGGTGAAATTATACCACTTTTCTAGGTACACAATGGCTCTTTGATACACGTTGATGGCTTCTTTCTTGAACTTTTGCACGGCATTCTCAGGCAAATGTTTTTTACGTAAGGCAAATAAAACTTTCATTCCAAAAAACTGCTCATCGTATTTTTTTTGCAAAGAATCACGCAGCTTACACATGATAATGTGAAGATCACCTGCAAGAATTTTCTTGCTTTCCAGCTTCAGTAGGGTGTCTTGCATTATTGACATGAAGAAGTGCGTGAAATATAAATACAATTCTGAAATTGTTGGTTCATCGTCCTTTGCGAGTTCATTTTCCTGATCCGAAATAAGGTTCCAGATAACCTTATGGCACTCATCAGAGCCAAGAGAAATAAAATACGATTTTAGAGGTATCCAGTTTAAAAGAAGTCTTTCGATCGCTTTAAACAAACTTAACCAACGTGTTGGAACATGGCGCAAAACTTCATGGAATTCTGACTCGCAAAACTCAAAAAATGATTTCAACTCTTCTTGTTTCTTCGCAGAATTCGAAAATTCGGCAAAAACCTTCAGCACTACATTTTCGATATCAAAAGATAACTGCTTTAATGCATTTTTTGCGCTGTTGTGTAAAATGTGATTATTGCAATGAGCAGCTACAATATTGTCATTTTCCAGCAATAATTTTTGGTAAACAGATTTGTTCACTCCATAATTGACCGATGCATTATCTGCTGAGTAAGCTGAAACATTATTTATTTCCAATTCGTTATCACCAAGAACTCGACACAGCTGATTTTTTATTGATGTAGAATCTTCGAAAGAATCCTCATAAAAGTCTAAAATTTTCACACACAGTCCTTCTTCACAAGTAAAATATTGTGCAACAACGGGATACATTTTGCGATTTCCCTTGTTTGATGCGTCAGTGGAGAGAGAAAATGGAATTCCAGTTTTAAGATCATTGAGAACCAATTCAATAGAAAAAGGATACAAAACCTCATTGACAATAGCTGATGATTTGGTTCTTCCGCAAGACATCTTTTTTACAATTTCTGAATCATCAAAAATTTGCTTCATTAACTTAATACCGCAATCTTGAGCCAGGAAAGAAATATGGTGTTTGATCCCATGGTAAGTTTCAGCCATTTCAGCTACAGTCACTTTCTCACTGA